TTTTCTACCTCCAAAGTCTTGGAGATTGGGAAAAGAATTCAAAAAGAAACATTATTACATTAACAGGTTCTTTGTATAATTTAGTGGCATTGCATGTGCTCTTGAATAACAGTCACTTTGTATTCTAATAACCCAACCGTCCATCTCCATCCATCCATTATACTCTCACTCCCCTCCCCTGCATATAAAATAGCCCCCTTCTCTCTCTTTATCATTAGCTCTTAAATTTATCTGTGCAATTTCAGATAAATCATATATTTTGATACTCAATTATTCAGTGAGATAACAAATGGGTGAAGAGGCTAAGCAGGTAATTAGCGTGTATTGCATGTTTCCTGTTTCTTTTATTACTTACGAAACGTTCATTCCATTCCACTCCATGCATTTGCTGTAATGCTTATTGATTGCCCCTCTTGGTTTTCGTTGGATAGGAACAAGCTCAGGCAGAGGCTAAGCCAGAGGAGAAAGCAGAGCAGAAAACAGAGGAGAAGAAAGAAGAGAAGGCAGAGGAGAAGGAAGAGCCAAAACCACCATCTCCTTTTGTGCTATTTGTAGACTTGCATTGTGTGGGATGTGCGAAGAAGATTGAGAGGTCCATCATGCGACTTAGAGGTCTTTCCTTTCTCTCCCTCTCGCTTTCATTTGCATGTCTGTAATTTGGTGTGCATTTTTGCTAACGCAGTTTCTTTTGAAAATGCAGGGGTGGAGGGGGTTGTGATAGATATGGTTAAAAATGAAGTGACAATAAAGGGAATAGTGGAGCCTCAAGCAGTGTGCAACAAAATCATGAAGAAAACCAAGAGAAAAGCAAAAGTCTTGTCCCCATTACCAGCTGCAGAGGGTGAACCCATGCCGGAAGTTGTTGCTTCACAGGTCCATGCGCAGAACCTTAATTAATCAGAAACATTAAACAAACTGAAATTAAGTATGTTGAAACACTGGGCCAGTAATAACTTGTGGTTTCTGAATTCTTCTTACTGCTTCAGGTTAGTGGACTAGTAACTGTGGAGCTCCAAGTTAACATGCACTGTGAGGCCTGCGCCGAGCAACTTAAGAAAAAGATACTCAAACTCAGAGGTATTTACAATTCATGTAGTACTCAACTTAAGTTAAACCTAATTAGTCATGTTAATGACCTAATTTACTCTTCATGTAGTTGGCAATGTCCTATCACATTATGCCTTAATAATGAGGTCAAAATAATTACTGTCAACAAATTAGCAGAATCAGAAGCAATACATGAGATAAATTTGATTGTGACTGACCAATCTCAGAAATAGCAAATTAAAGTTGGTGACAAAGGAACTTCAGAAAAGGATGCATTATGTTACGAGTCTGCCTGCCCTGCTTTCTTGTAGCCACGTTGATCTTTACAACTACTTTTTTTTTTTTTGGTCAAGATTGATCTTTACAACTAAGCATATAACCAACCAAATGTTGGGCCCTATCTGACGTGTCCCGATAGAGCTAGATTTCCTCAGGTTCATCAGTAGAGCTGTAAATAAGTATGGCTTAGGGACAAAACTGTTTTTATATGTTTCTAAGAATTGGGCCCTATATAATTAAACAACTCATTAGATATACAATTTAGTTGAGGTTAATTTAAACAACTTGATTAATTAATGGCAGGAGTGCAAAGTGCTGTGACTGATCACAATAGCGGGAAGGTGATGGTGACAGGAACCATGGACGGCGACAAGCTAGTAGATTATGTGTACAGACGAACCAAGAAGCAAGCCCGAATCGTCCCACAACCGGAGCCCGAACCGGAGAAGAAAGAAGAGAACAAGGAAGGTGATGGCAAGGCAGCAGAAGAAGCAAAACCATCAGAAGACAAGAAAGAAGAAAATGCAGAGGAAAAACCTGCAGAAGAGGCAAAGAAAGAAGAGGGTGGTGGTGATGGTGGAGAAGAAAGTAAAAACAAGGAGGAGGAGAAAGCTGGTGAGGAAAACAAGGAGGAGGTCGGCAAGGTGGTGGAGCAGATGAGCGGCAGTTACGTAAATAGTGGTATGGATGAGGAAAGTACGAAAAGAATGATGCAGTACTATTATCAGCCGCTGTATGTGATTGAGAGAATCCCACCTCCTCAGCTGTTCAGTGATGAGAATCCAAATGCATGTTGCATTTCATGACCCACCAACTTCCAACTTTGATGATCAATCAAATATTTCATAATAACAAGTTATTAAAATGTTGTTATGTTACTTATGTGTAGAGTATTATTTATATTTATAAAAAATGTTTTTCTTTTCTTTTATACATACTATATAGCAAGTTCTACCACTCGTGACTAGAATTTTAGACAAGTAATTGGGTGGATGGTGTCTATCAAGTAGTGGAATATTCATCCAAATTGAATCGATTAATGATATATAATATTCTAGTCATAATTAATAACTCGAGATGATCCAACAATATGTTTTTAAAAAACAAACATTGGGAAGAAAAAAATTCTAGAATTTTAATCTTCGGCGGAGTGAAGAGCGAGAGCCACAACCACTGTAGTAAACCTGCTGGACCCCTAATTAGAAGCTTTTCATTCTCTCCATGTGAAAAATATGAATTTTTTATATATAAAAAACTCGAAGTTGATCCACATCCACATATATATATATATATATATATCTAATACTGTTGAATCACGTTCCACAAAGCAATAACATGAGGGTACGAAAAGAATTGGATCGGGACGACGGAGAAAGGGTGTTCATGAACATTCAGTCAATCTTACTAGTGAATTTTTGGTTGGAGGCTAAATGTCGCATCAAACAAACACAATCTATATTTTTTTTGTTTAAAAGTAATCAAGAACATATGATGATCTAATCTGTTTATATATCCACTAATTAATGAAACTTAGTCAAACCTGATAGGCAAGAAATTGAAACTCCTCCTGGTTAACCCCGAAAAACAAGGTAATTAATCAAATCCAAAGTTTAGGTTTGCGTTATGTCACACGTCATATAGATAGATGGATAAATGCAATCTGATTGGGGCCGCCCGAGATTCCCTGAGAGAAATCAGATATGGTGTGGGTTTCACATGGTGGGGTCCAAATTTATTCGAAATCCGAGTCATCTGTCTGAATGAATAAGCCAAGCACAAACAAGGCCGATGGGACCCACTCTCCAAAACTGTAACGTGGCATGGGCGGTGAGCTGTCTATTTGTCTTATTTTGTCGTATATACAAAACAGGCACGCATCCGTCATGGCCAATGTCAGATTGTTTCTCAAAAGTGGGAAGACAATTTGAGGTCGGGTAAGCAGAGGCCAAAGGAAGAAGGGGAACGTGCGTGATTAGAGAGAAAAGCCAACTTTACTTGTACTTAAAAACAAAAGTGTTAGAAGAAGTGATAAGAGATGGAGCTAAAGCCTGAAGATGATATCAAAGCATCAATGTAGAGAAAAGGAAGACAAAATTAAAGCACCTACTTTTTTTTTTTTTTTTTTTTTTTTTAAAAAAACCAAAAAAAAAAAAAAAAATTTTGTTTTTTTATTTTTTCCAACCTTCCCCACCATGAACATTCAGTCAATCTTACTAGTGAATTTTTGGTTGGAGGCTAAATGTCGCATCAAACAAACACAATCTATATTTTTTTTGTTTAAAAGTAATCAAGAACATATGATGATCTAATCTGTTTATATATCCACTAATTAATGAAACTTAGTCAAACCTGATAGGCAAGAAATTGAAACTCCTCCTGGTTAACCCCGAAAAACAAGGTAATTAATCAAATCCAAAGTTTAGGTTTGCGTTATGTCACACGTCATATAGATAGATGGATAAATGCAATCTGATTGGGGCCGCCCGAGATTCCCTGAGAGAAATCAGATATGGTGTGGGTTTCACATGGTGGGGTCCAAATTTATTCGAAATCCGAGTCATCTGTCTGAATGAATAAGCCAAGCACAAACAAGGCCGATGGGACCCACTCTCCAAAACTGTAACGTGGCATGGGCGGTGAGCTGTCTATTTGTCTTATTTTGTCGTATATACAAAACAGGCACGCATCCGTCATGGCCAATGTCAGATTGTTTCTCAAAAGTGGGAAGACAATTTGAGGTCGGGTAAGCAGAGGCCAAAGGAAGAAGGGGAACGTGCGTGATTAGAGAGAAAAGCCAACTTTACTTGTACTTAAAAACAAAAGTGTTAGAAGAAGTGATAAGAGATGGAGCTAAAGCCTGAAGATGATATCAAAGCATCAATGTAGAGAAAAGGAAGACAAAATTAAAGCACCTACTTTTTTTTTTTTTTTTTTTTTTTTTTATAAAATACCGAAATAAAGCATAAACATCTGGTTTCTTGATTATTCTCAACGTTACGCATCAATGGTCTACTCTGATGCATTCTAGTTACTTGAGAGATAATCAATTTTATTTGAGTTCTTAATTAACCTTAATTAGCATGAATAATAACAGGTTTATTTAAAATTATAAAGGGGTCTTGGTACAATGCATGCATGCATGTGCATGGCGGCATCAATCACCAATGAGAGTGCAATTACGATCACGTAGTTTGTATATAATATTCTATATTTAAAGTTACAACAAAGTTTAAGTAACTAGTAAAGTGTTCCAAGTTCCAACGTTTGAAAGCCAAACTTGTTTGTTAAGGAAAACAGAAACAGCCCACATGGGATGGGAGTCATAATCTGAAACTATAAGTCCAATGCATATGAAAGGGAAGGGAGAATACATACACTGCACTTTTTTGTATATCCAAAAATATAAAGCCAGCGCTGCTGACACATCCTTCCACTCATCTCACTCATAATCCACATGACATGCGCCTTTGCAATTTACAAACCATGATCTCTCTAATCAAAGTATCTTTAATTAGGATATTACATAATACTAATCCTGTCTCAAATCAACTGAAAAAGCCGCCATGGATATGTTAAAGGATAATTATTCTTTTGTAAAGGAATTCCAGATTACTTAGCTCAGTCGACTTTCTTCTGCAATGTCTACAAAATATATAAAGCCATACAATACAACAACAGAACATCTAAAGCCGCCAAGCAAGAACGACAGCCATCTTAATTGCATGCATATTTGGATGTTGTTCAATTAGGGTTAGATTAAACATGGCCGATATGCAAATTGTTCTGGCTAAGGCTTGCCAAAATGTAGAGGCGCAGTATGTGGAGATGATGGTTCCTCTCTATTCTCATGGATGTGAGAAGAAAGTCAAGAAGACCCTCTCCCATCTCAAAGGTAAACTAGTTTTACCATTTTCATTAATATTTTTTTACAACCAATTTTCTCCGAGTCTCTGTATCAGTAATTTTCATGTATCTTTCTTCTATGTAACACTTTGTAGCAGCAATCGTTTCTTTGTTCTTCTGGCTAGGTGTTTCGTGTTTGTTTAGTTTGACTAGGCCCGATCGCAGGCGCTTCACAAAAATGCGGCCCGCAAGGAGACAATTAACTTTTGTGGGCCTGTGTGTGCATATACATTATCTTAATTACAGTCTAGCTAGGTTGGTCCGGTAACAGTTGGGGAATTAAGCAGCAGTAAAATACTAGACTGACTGGTTGAAACTTGAATTGGAAGTCTGTTTGAAACGATTGATCAATCTCAAGATATCTAAATGATATTTATGCGTATGTACAGGGATATACTCGGTGAAGGTGGATTACGACCAACAAAAGGTGACTGTGTGGGGAATATGCAACAAATACGATGTGCTTGCAACCGTGAGGAGCAAGAGAAAGGACGCCTGTTTTTGGAACCCACAAGACAACGCCATTGCCTTAGAATTAGAATCGCAGCCTCCCTCAGACTCAAGCTCTCCTCCAATTTCATCAACTTCAAGATACGCAAACTCTTCTTTAGCTCTTATCAGGGTTCACTCTCTAAGCTTAAAATTGAAAGCATGGAAGAAAGTCTTCACTAGATCCTACTCGTTACCCTGATCCCGAGAGAGGCTTTCTCAAGGGTTATTCCTAATAAACCCTAATACTTTTGAATTTGTATCTAATTTTCTAAAAAATTAACTTGAGGGGTACGTTAAAGAGAATTGTCTGTTGACATCTATTCCCTATTATAATTAGTCAAAAGAGACTGGGTGCTGGTCTAATATTATGTACCCATGGCCAGCCAGTCTTTCTCTTTAAATTCGTATTATTTGGTAAGATTTGACAAGTTAGTTATCTCTTTGGTTTGATTTTCAGGGGTCAGCTTGATAATAGTCAATCATACCTCCATCCATACAGACTATTTTCTCTACCACTTTACTGCAAACAAACATATAGATCAAGCAGATCACATGGCATTTTGTCCTGCTGATTTCATGCCGAGCACAAAATATAGCATGTACAAGAGACTTTTTAACTTTCAAGCCACTTGTATATCGCCGACGCCGATCCATCCAAAATCGTCCAAGGGGTTGTTGCCACGTGATCCAACAAAAAAGTTTGAAGACTTTGATTACACAGGAGAAAACAAAAGTCTTATAACGAGGCGAACAAAACGCTGGGCTGAACAACTTTAATCATGACAATTTACGCGTAAGCTGACCAAACTACACACACAATGACAGTCCGTTGGGGTGAACAAGTTAATCAACTTCCCCATCTAGTAATTTCTATCATAAAATCAAAGAGTAATCATAGAACTTACCAGAAAGAAAGTTGAAAAAAACGCCACCGGCTAGCTTAGCGACATAGATTGCTTATATTATATATTATGTAGCGTGAATTTTGAATTCAATGGGGGCTAACTAATAATAAAGTCCACACGTTACAACAACGAAAAGGTACGTATATAACAAGGCAGAACGCTGTGTCTTGTAAATTCTATCAAGCTAGCCACCTACCAACGCCAAGCACTCCTTTCTCTGCTTTGAATTGGTGTGTGGAGGAGGAAAGGAATCTGAAGAGAATGATAAGGGTAGGCCTGGTTGCAGAGCTATTAGAGGCATATAGAGCAGCGCTTTCGATGATGACAGAGCACCTCTTACCGCCACCACCGCGGCGGTGGCGTAGCACCCGTTTTGATGGTCTCATCAATACTATTCGTTTAGTTTCTCGCCCGGCCTCAACTCCCGACTCTGCCTCTTCTTTCTATCTGTACTTTTAAACTTAAATTTGGTTACTTAATTTGCAATATCTGTGTTCAATTTTTAGGATGCTGTACTACGTGCGTCCTTGAAATGGTGTACATATATATATTTATGAAATTCTTTGTTTTCTTTGGTTGATATCTTCTTCTTTTTCTTTTTTTTATAAGATCTACCTGAGAGAGAGAGAGATAGAGAGAGATGTTTGTCTGAGATTTCCGGGTTGTTCTTAAATTTGGTTTGTTTTTCCCTTACTATAGTAAATTAGTGATAGAACTAGACAGAGGCATTATGTAATATATATTAAGCAAAGCAGACGGAAGAATTATAATATTAATTCGACATAAATAACCTAAATGATGGGATGGGATTATGGGACTGCCTATTAGATGACAATTTTTAATGAATATTTAATATCATATGAACTAATAATAAAGCAACATTAGAGAAATAGGTTGGCCGAGAAACCTAATTTAGACTTTGACTACATTGGAATGTCATACATGCATGTGGCGAAAAACGTGCATGTTCTTGACGATTTTTCAACACATGTGAATATATCATAATTAGTAAATTATAACATGTTTAGTGACTTCTTCTCATTGCATTTAATCAATGTAGAATATCCGTTCTTTTATAATATCGAGTTTGAATCACCGCTTTATTAATTAGAATAGTTTGTAATATCACATTTTCTGAAAAATAAAATAGAACAGGCTATCCATCCCTTCGAGTTGTGTGTAACATATCCATTATGTGTTGCATTGCCCATATAATTCAATTGAAACAATGTAAAAGGGGAAAAACCAAAAAAAAAAAAAAATGTATAAGGGGAAGAAAAGCTAAACGTCAAAAAGCATGAGGTGGTAAATCATTTATGCACAATTACATGGGCTTCTTTGCAGATAGTCATAAACCGAAGGCCAAAACTTAAAAACAGAGTGACGTTCACCCAAATTCTCTTTCCTTGTTTCTCTTGGACGGTGAAGACCCAGAGGACACTGCCACCAGTCACCACCACTGGCTCTGCCTCTCTCTCCTCACTCGTCACTGTTGTGGTATGACTTTCTCTTCAATTAATGCAAAATCTTAGATTTCATACGATTTCCAAACGGATTGATGTGGTTTAAATAGAAATTAGAAGAATTCCAAGATTTTTTTAAGGATTTTGTTGTATTTAATCATCTGGGTTTGGTTTGGTTTTCTGATTGCTGTAGCAGTAGGGCTTAGTTAAGCAAGACAGCTATTGATATATTTGATGCTACCGTTTTATAAATTTTACAGCAGCTTTTCTGCTTTTGTTCCTGCTTGTTTTCTCTTCGTAATTGGGCGATTGCTGAAAACCGACGGTTCAGCCGTCCTCACTTTGCAATTCTCCGAACATCATATTTTTCCCTGATATAATTTCATTGTTATTCTATCATCTTTATGTTGTTTGATATTGCGTTCTTCATTAATTTTTAAATTTTTGTGGTAAAGGGGCCTGTTTTTGAATTTTTTAGCTCTTATTGTTATTTCGAAAGCTCCTAATTGAAGTAATTCTTAGTGGGTCTTGATCAATTTACTTAATTTTTGTGTTAGAACCAAAATATAAGAATGACGGGATTTGGGTCGTATGGAAATGGAGGACCTTATCCATATTCATCATCGCCTTCAAGTTTATCGGCTTTAGCGCCACCTTTTACTGTCGATCGGTCTGTACCCAAACCCATTTCAAGCCCACTTGTGGATGTGACCGAGACACCTTATGTTGCCCCCTTGAATTCTTCTTCGCACAATTGGCTTCCTTCTCACCCTCCCATTACAGGGTCCAACTTCTTTGCCAATCCTACCCCAGACTTCAATTCATTGCCTTCATCAAATGCATATAGATATGCAGGCTCGCAGACTGTGGACCCACCCAATACAACTTTGCCTCCTTTGAACACTATTACACCCGCTTCATCCAATGCATTTACATATGATCAATCCTTGGATGCTGTTGCAACTAGTTTTGTTGAGGCCAAACCATATTATCCCTCTTATTTGTCACCTACAATTCACGGGGATGGTCCCTTGGTGGTTCCTGATCAACCTAGTTATGATTGGCTATCTACCACTCATTTTGCTCCCTTGGATGGCTGTTCTCACAAGGATTACACTCAAAGGCCGCCTGATTTAAAGTATACAGCACAGTGGGGTGGCTTGTGGAATGGACTGGCAGAGTGGGAGCAGGGTAAACAGGGAGACTTTGATGGAAGTTTCTGCTCAAAGAAAACTGATGTATCGGGCTCAATTCTATACAAGAATTTCATGAACCAAGGTATGTATTCCCCACAGTTATATGTCTATGGAATTTTTTCCGGTGGAAATATTTGGAAGCTAATTTAACTCCTCTGTCTTATCATGGTAGTTTGTCTCGGATGTTTTACTCTGTTTTTAAAATTTCATCTTTCATAGTGTTCATGATTTCAAAAAATTACCTTTTGTCTACTTCTGTTTGTTTTGCATGTTGCACTTTCAACAATTTTTGTTGAATAATAGGATGAGCATGTGATTCTTTTCTTACTTTGTTTTCCGTTAATTATCTGTATAATATGCAGAAACTCATTCCTCCAATAGCTTGAACTCATTTGAAGAAGCATCCCATGGCATCAATACTCTGGGTTGGGAAAAGCCTGGTGGGCCTGGAAATGCGCACTTAGGTGATAAGTCCTTTGTGGGGAGAAATTCCAAATTCACCCCTTCTGACTTTTCAAAATCTATCATGGGATCCCTCTCGGTAGTTCCAGAAGCCCATCTTAAGGCACCATCCTCACAATGTGTCACGAAGACCTCAAACTGTAAAACACCATACAGTGTGTCATCTGAGACACGACAGCTTGATGCTAGTCTGGATTATATAACGTCCATTTCGGAGTCGTCCCCTGCCTTTGCCACTAGAACACCAGCACTTGGCACTAAACTTTCAGAACCAGAGACAGGTTTATTCAGACGGTTGAATTTCATAAATGATGCAGCTGATACAGGTCATGGTGATTTTTATTCCTCCGGTGTACAGGAGTCTCATCTGCCACAAATTTCTGAAGGAAAAGTTCTTTTCGATTCAAGCCAGCTTGGCTTTCACCTTGGAGCAAAGGATTGCTTCTCTGCAGAATCATCATCAGCAAGAACTGAGGAGCTGTCAAATAATAGAAATATTATCAACAAGGATGCCTGGGATAAAGTGTTTAAAGCGAAGCCTGGACTTCAAAATTCTCATGTTGGTCTTGATGGTTTTAATATGGCATTTAAAACAAATGAAACCATCAATACTTTTCTGAGTTCGTCTGACAATGTAGATCCTAATAACCCAGGTGTGGACTCGCCATGCTGGAAAGGAGTTCCTGGTAGTCGTTTTTCTCCATTTGGAGCATCTGAAGATGGAGTACCAGAACAGATAAAGAAACTAGAGGACTGCAGTGGTTTGAATATTCACATGCCGATGTTTCCACTAAATGCTGGTGAAAATGTTTCCTCCCAAAATCCTATCAAGAATACAGTCGAATACAATGAATTTGGGTGGCTGGAAAATGGTGTGAGACCTCCTTTGAAGAGATATTCAGTTGCAAATTCAGCTTTTGGAGAACATAAATGGGATAATCCTGTGAAGACCACCTATGATCCAGAAACAAGCCATGATAGAGGACCTCAAAGTTACAGGGATGGCCTCCATCAATCAGGGAATGGAGACAAGTCCTTGGGTCTCCTTGACGATTCTCAAGCCATGCAACAGGGTCATGGAGAAGATGGATTAGCAATGGAAGTAAAGCAAACATGGAGTTGTGTTGCAGATGTGAAATTGAATGCAAATGACACCATGGAATATGGTTCATCACATGTGCCTTCTCATGTTGTGGAAAATGTATTGTGTTCTTCTGCAGAGGATGCTCCGACTAAGCTTTCCAAATCAAATGGGCAAGAATCTATGCTGAAAGTGGATGTCCAGATGCTTGTTGATACATTGAAGAATCTGTCAGAATTGCTGCTTACTAATTGTTCAAATGGCCTGTGTCAATTAAAGAAAACAGATATTGCG